AAAAATTCTCATATGATAACCAAGTACATATCATAGAATGCTTGCATGACAAAGATTTAATGAATGACTTGGATGTAAGTGTACTTTTACATAATCTGTCTATATGACTAACAAGATTGAATGACCTAATTTGTGTAGCTTACACTTTATGGTCAAGTAGAATTGCTGCATTCTGTGAATTTCCCTGACAGATAAGCAAGCCTTCAGCAATATCTTCTATATACAGACACATTTTTCTCTTTCTTTCTCTTACATGTCAAGTGATGTGATAATCTCATTTGTAGCACTGGCTATGCTTGTGACTTATGTGTCTCTAATATGACATTTTTGTTATGTCATAGAAATTTCTGAATGCTGTGACTTACCAGAATGACCACAGTATTTCAAACAACAAAGTGATACATAGTTTTCCAGCAGGATGTGAGTTTATTTGCCCAATAACTACCTTAAATTTAAGAATAAAACATATATATTCAGGCTTTGAGATATGTACTATATATTTGAGTGGGATTGTTGTCTCAGAGGGTATCCACAATGAATATCAACTCTTGAGTTCAGCAGAACTAACTGAAAAACTTAATTCTGTATCTCAGAGTCATTCACAGTTTAATGTGTATGTCTGTAATCTTCTAGTTCACAATTGATATCTCAGTCAACATATATGGTCAGTCTCTTGAGGCTACACATTGGTATCTGACATGAGGTCTATTTACCACACAATAGCTGAGAAACATCAAGAGGCTGTTATCTCAGTAATAGTATATATTTGGTTGTAGTCTTTCCTAGAATATTTCCTGAAATTTTTCCAAGCACTTCTAAATACACTAATAACAAAGATGATCAAATGACTGCATTATTCTCAGATACTAAAATTTATAGAAATATCCAGCTTTGTAAAGAGCATATTGAAGACACAAGGCTGGTTTGATACTCTATTTGTCATAATACTGATACTGACAAGCTTCTTACAGTGTTTGATTTCTCACAGCTTTTGAGTTCTTAGTAGACCCTTTTTTTGCTGGCTCTTCTCAGGGTCATTTTCTGATGACTCATACATTGCTCTTGCACTTTTAATAATATTCTCTGCTTCATGAACAAATTAAATCCTTCAGTGATCAGTTCCACTTACTTCTGCTTATGTAAATATCAGCTGGTTGCATCCACTTGTCTTTTGGGATATCATGTTACTTTGGACAGCAACTTCTAAGATTTCACTGTGCTCTTCTAAAGAATTTATTATTGAGGCTCTTCTGCCTTATTACAGCTCTCAACTCAAAGATGGAGCTTAAACTATTCTGGAGGCAGACTTGGGCAGTGATGGATTTTAGCTTCTAAAGTCAATCTCCAAGACACATTCCTGCTGGAACCTAATCAGCAAGCTATAGGTTTCATCTGTTTTGGCTGTGTCTGCTATAATTTTTTTTTACCCACTGATTTTACTTTTTTTTCATGTACACTTCAGTATCAGTCTTTTTAGGAGATAAGGAAGAAAACACATTTGACTTTGTTTTTTGTTTAGGGAAGAAGAATTAGTCTGTAATATCCAGTGTGTCAGTGTAAATATCACATACATGAATACTTTAAATGATGTTTTTTCACAACCTCCATTCAATAATGGGTGATAATACAAAGGTACATATTTCTGTTGTGAGATTCCAATAAGTGCATTATGATAATGCTGGATCATGTGGGAGCAGAAGTCACAAATAGACCCTACTTTCAGATTTGGTGTGATAATTTGCCTTGCATACCTTGACTAATGCTATTGCTAGGGCTTGCTTCTCTGGTTGGTGACATCCTATAGCATTCTGAGTCATATTATACTCAGATTTGATGAATCAGTATATGCATAGGCAAGGATAGCTTTGATTGCTATATCACTGGTGAAGAGGTTTTGCATGTGCACAAGGTGAAAATAGATACAGCAGAGTGATATCCACTGATTACAACCACACATACAATACTTCTTAGTTTGTTGGAGGGATTATAATGCAATAGAGTAGCTATAGCAAGTACAGTTGTCTTCTCAAATGATTCCACTGTACATAAATAGCAATAGCATATGTATAACAGTCTCAGATCTCTCTAAGTCTTAAAGCTTTTTATTTATAAAAACAAGAGGTGGCAATAGAAGTTGCTAGACCTTAAGGTAAAGGGTACTGTATTTCAATACAATGTATCAAAACACTCTCAAAAAACTCTCAAAACTCTCAAGCACAGCTCAGATCAATTTTAAATCTCTAAACACACACTACACAACTCAAATATTTGCACTTTAAGCAGAAACACTTTGTAAACAAGTCCATAAGTACCAAAGGGTTCAAACCTATGTGATTCAGAGACACAACACACAGTAAAACACCATCCAACAGACCCAAAGGGTTTGAACCTTTGCTGATCTGCGGAAATAACCAAAAGTGAACACTAATCAAGCCAAAGGGTTCAAACCTCTGCCACCTGTAGTGCCTTGCATCACAAACACCTCAAAAACTCAAGATAATGCCCTTCAGATACTGCTCTCTTATTCTCAGGCTAGAGTGCAATTCAAAACCTCTTATCAAATCAAATTAGAGTCCCTTACAAGCTTCTGTGCCTTGTGCAGTTCTCAAATCTCTGTCAGTGATATCAATAATGAGTCTATTCTCTCACTCAAAGTTATAAACACAAGCCCAGAGCTATGGTTCAAGGCTTTCTATACCCAATACACTATAACTGTGAGGGGTCAGAAACTTATCTACTACTCTTATAATGCAGTACTTAAATAGTCTACTACTGTACTTACTCAGAGACACCAAATATAGTAGTTTTAATGCTCAGAACTCTGTCCTGGAGTCTCTAGCATATCATTTGTGCACATGTCACAGTTTGACATGCAAATTCTGCTCCAGATCAGAACTGCCTTTTGTTTCTATGCAACCTGACACTGGTGTAAGGCTTGCAAACTCCCTAGTGCAAGAAGGATTGTGTCTGCTCTTGCAAGTTCTTTTATAATCACAAGAGGGAAATCCAGCTGTTCAGAGCAGATCTGACAGAATCTGCCTGGAGCAAGTGGCTCATTGGTAGAACATGCTCTGTCATCCACTTTTGAGAGTGGATGCACAAGATACAAGTGGAATGTGAGAGAGATGAGAGAGAGATCACAAAGATGTGCTTCAAGCTATCTGCTCATGCAATACCAGGCACAAAGGCTCAAAGGTATGCTTCAGGTTTCAGCTCATAGGAGATGATCAGAAATTTATTTCTTTGGTTTGTACCATAAAAGTTGGTCTTTCTTTATTTACAAGGTTAACCCTTTTTATACTGAGAGTCCAAGAGTCTAATTCCTTATCAGCTATGGCTCCAATAAGTGCCTAGGCCACCCATTTTTGGCTCCCATCTGTCTCATACCAGCATGGTGCTATCAATCCACTCTGCAGATCTGTTATCCATTAGTGAATCAGCTACACCTTTCATATTCAGTGCCTCACCAAATAGCCTCTTAAGGCTATCCATTCTTGATTGAATAGTGTGTTCATCCACCTGCAGATCACAGCTGACAGGCATCTGCTCCTAAATGCCAGTATGGTGTTAAAACATAGCATGCCAGACACAAAAGAGGTGGACAACAGACAGCCATCTGTCATTATTGTGCAGCTTCTTGATTGCACAACAGATCTCTGGACAGGTTGTATTAGTGCTCCATTGCTTGAGCCATAGCTGGGAGATGGTTTCCTATTCTGAAGGTGGGATGCTGCTTGCTGCTCAGCACTCTTGATGCTCTGGCAGTTTCTAGAGCTAGGAAAATCAGAAATTTTGTGCCCATAAAACCATGGTGCAGTACACTGGTTAGCTCTGTTAGTGGCCTGACCACTGGTCTCTTCACTTTATTATCTCTCTGGGGCAATTAATCTATACACATGAGTCGTTCTAGACTCCTGGGATCATTTCTGGTGATTTCTTTCATCAAATCTTCCCATTCTTAGCCAATCACTCTGATATTCAGATTTATCTCATTGTGCACCAATGCTCTGTTCTAGAATATGTCCCTCAGCAATTTAACACCTATGTATCATTGATCAATATGACATGAAGTCATGTGCAAAGCTCTGATCATATTTTGATCATGTGCTCTTTATTTTTGGTGGGACTTTCTATACTTGTATTAGCACAATTAGTGTCAAGTGCTGAGACCTCATGTGCAGTATGACCCTCCTCTGGTATCATTCTACTGCTAGGCTATGACCTCCACCTATTGTCACTCAAGCCAGCTGTGATACAAGTCTCATTTCACTGTGCTCTAGCCATATTCTTTATTGCACACATAGTAGACTGTGATACAGTTACTGTATTGTCATAATTTGCAAAATTACATGCTTGGACATGCAGTGGGCATGTCATCAGATGACCAATGAATAAGTGTTGCTTTGAGACCTTGAACATGTCTATCAGATCATGTTCAATATACTCACAATTATAAAGATAGGGTGCCAGAGTCCAGACTGAACATCTGCAGAGCCAGAATCCTAACCCAATGCTATGGCTTCATCTCCTTGAACCCATGACTGAGATCATCAGATATAGTATTGTCAATTGATGATGTGCAGCTATCATATATACTGCCACCAACAAACTCAAACTGAACTTGTTTGAATCTGAAGTAGCTTTGCTATAGCCTTATACTAGCAGAGATATTGAGCTGGCAGAGACTAATATGAATGAGAGTGGAGGGCCTTTGTATTTTAGTAGTTACTGATAGAGCATGCTTGTTTTTCTCTGTTTTTTAGCTAACCCCAATTCAATAGACCTTTCTAATCCACACATCTTGTGAGTAATTATTTGTTTTCTATATTTCAATAACTAATGACTAGCTTAGGATCTATGTCTCAAAACTGTCTTCCAATTAGATATCATCACCAATCTAGATTTTATATTTTGATGTCTATCAAGGACTTTTCAAAGTGTCAGATAGAGATTAAAATAAATGGAGTCAAAATGCATATTCTGTCTTTTGAGCAGACTAAATAACTGTTAGAGAGCATATGGGTGGTTCATCATACTTCACTGCAACCAGAATAGAACCCCTTCTCCCAATGGATATAGTTGAATCTAGGTGGCTATTGCTGCCACCTGACAAATATCATCTCTACTACATCCTTGATTGCACATTGAGCTATTAGTCTTCAAAAGCATTCACAAGATCTCAAGTGCTTGAGATCTAAATTTTATGAGGCTAGACAAAATGCTGCAATAAAATTTGAATGACATTACATATTTTCTATTTAGGATTTTGATTTTCAATCTGGAGACTTGGTCTTGATGCATAATACGCAGATAGAGAAGGCTTTAAATAGTGAGTTCAGTATAATGAACCAGCCATTCTTATGTGCTTCAAAGAACAAATATTTCCACATTCTTATCTTTATTGTTGGCTATTGGACAATTCTCTTGGCTCAAAAACATATCACAATGCTGGTATGTGATTAGGAGAGTGCATGCATGAGCAACCAAAAGACATGGTGAGCAGCTCTTTTCTTGATCTTTAAGATTAGTAATATGTCAATAGATATAGTTATAAATTTGGGCTTGATCATCAAAGTGTTTGAGTCCCATTCCAATGAATCACAGGAGGCTTCTTCTTATCCATATCAAGCCAAGCCTTCACAAGAACATTGCTAAAATCCACAGAGCACAAAGAATGTGTAAGTGTGAGAAAAGAGCTTTATCAATCTCAAAGTTGAATGGTAGGGATTCAGGATTTAAGAGGAGCTCTTCAGAGTCCTCACACTCATAAGCTTCATTCACATGCAGAAACTTTTTAAGCTAGAAATTTGATCAATCCATTGTTTATCTAACTTGGCAAGTGAGAATTAATACCTGTTAAGCCCAAGTTGCACATGATCTAAACACATGATAAACTGATGCTGTATTGAGCTCATACAGTCACATCAGAGTTCACTATATGTGCTTATTGATCTAATGCTTCAAGGCCAAAGACTGCCAGCTTGAGATGAAGTGGTGAAGAATAAACTTTAGCTTGAAGCTGAGGATATACAGTGAGAGCTACACTACTTATATACTATTTATTCATTAGATAAATATATTCCTATTAATTGTGTACTTCTAGATTATGGTGCTCATTGTCCTTGAGTATTGTGACTATGTACAAAAGAGTATTGTCCATCATTGAAGAGCATCATCATTGTTGGAGAACAATAGCAGACTTGGCCTATTATAGTGACTAAGCCTGTTCCACAGTCCTAAGCACTGGTCTAGATGCTCTGACTAAGCATAAACAGGGGATACTCAAGAAAGGAAAAGGAAAAAATCATAACAATACCTTGATTAAATGTTGTTCAGCACAGTTGTGCCTGTTAAGCCTAAGTTACATATGACCTATAACATATGATAAACAGATGCTATATCATGTTTGTACAGTCATTCCTGAATCCACTATTGTGCTATGTTAGTGAAGTGCTACAAGGCCAAAAACAAGTCAGCTCAAGTGTGGATGGTATAGAATAAACTTTAGCTTGAGGCTGGATTCTTACAGCAAGAGCTAGACTATTTATATACTCATTCATCCTCTGGATAAATATATAACTACTTATTATGTGTTTCTACACTATAGTGTTCATTGTCCTTATGAGTCACTACTGTTACAAAAAGGTATTGTCATGTTGTTAAGGGGTTTCTACATGTTGATAGACAATGAGCAGGGTTTGGCTATTATGGTTGCATAAGCATTCTCACAGTCCAAGTGCTTGGTTAGATGCTTTGACTAAGAAAAAATAGGGATCAACTAGGAAAAGAGAAAAAAAATCATAATATTACCCCCTCTCATAAGACTATTATCCTGATTGATTATTCTAGGGAGAATTCATAATCCCAAATAGTGTCATTGGCATTCATATGATGTTCATTTATCCATTGATTAGATTAAAGGCTATAACCTTTTTAGCTAACTAAATAATCAACTATGGTGTAACTTCCACTATTGTAGGTATGAACTTTGTAGAGGTGGTGGTTAAGGACTTGGTCAACTTTGTAGTGTTCTTTATCATTGACTAGAACTGGTTCTGGAGAAGGAAGTTGCTGTTGATTGGAGAAAGCAGGGGCAATATATAGGGTGAGAAGCAATTCATTAATGTTATGATTTTTCTTTTCTTTATTTTTTTTCCTATGATTAACCCCTATTTATGCTTAGTCAGAGTGCTTAACAAGTGCTTAAGACTGTGGGATGAAGCTTAGTCATCACAACTAGGCTGAGTTGATCATTGTCTTTCAATGTAACAGCATTGCCTGATGATGCACAATCAACCTTTTATGTATAATAGCAACACCCAAGGACAATGGACACAAAGGATACAACAATACACAATAAGTAACAGTATAATTAGCAAAGACTTGTATAGTATTTAAGGAGGCTTGCTCTCACTGGTAATCCCCAGCTTTGAGCTAAAGTTTATTCTTACACCATTCTATACTCAAGCCAATCCTAAAGTGTTATGACACACCAATCAGTATATGCATCAGTGAACTCAGTTGATCACCTGAAGTGCAAGGTGACTTCTATTTATCATGTGTATCTGCTCACATAATGCTTAGATCTAACAATTAAAGACATCATAGATGCACCAGATGGATGGCAAGTGGAGATGGTATGCAGAGGCCTCAACCTTAGAAAGAATGAGGAAGGAGCCCATTCATTTATTGGCTAGCTTTCACTCAGATCAGGGTATATGGAGGTTGGGCAGGTCAATGGTGTTTATCATACTGGTTCTTCATAGCAGCAGCAGCAGCACCTTTTTCAAGGATGATATGTGTTTCAGTATGAATTTTAGACATGAGAGAGGCAAATTCTGAAGAGGTGGGAGTTATAGTTTGAAGATGGTTGGTCTGGGTGATGTGAGAATGTCAGCCATAGTTTATGAAGAGGGGTGTTTTTCCCATAGCAGAGTGGATGCAGTTGTTGTGTGGAAATGCCACCAGGGTGAGCCATTCAGTCCAGTCATTCTGTCAGTAGTTAATGAACATTCTAAGGTATTTCTCCATTTTCTGATTGATTTGCTGTGTCTGCTCATCCATTTGAGGATGGTATGCAGTAGAAGTGTTCCTGCATATGTTTAGGAGATGGTATAAGTCATCCAAGAATTTAGACATGAATTGCAGCCCTCAATCAGAGATGATGACTTGCAGCATCTCATACTTGGCAGACCTTATCATGAAGGATCTTAGCCCAGCCTTCTGATGTTAGTTCAGTGGGACAAGCAATTGGAATGATGGTCTTAGAGAAGTGATTGACAATGATGATGATGGCATCAAAGCCATTACAGTCTGATAGGCTGGTAATCATATCAATAGAGATGTGCATCCATAGTGCTGTCAGGACTTTCTTTGAGTGAAGTGGTGCCACTTGAGCTTGTGTTGATGACTTTGTTCACTGGCAGGTCTTGCATCCTTTTATATACTTTTTAATGTCCATCCCTATCTTCAGCCATCAATACTCCTGGAGTACTAGTTCTTTGGTTTTGGCAATGTCTGGGTGTCTTGCAGTTGCATGATCATGATACATTACAATTATGTCCTCTCAGAGATGAGGGTGACAAGAAATATAGATCTGTCCATTATAATAGATCAAATTATTATTCTTCATCATTCCTCATTTGTGATTGATAGAGAATGCAATCCACTGGTCTCATAGGCTGGTCTTCCTTGTCAAACTTTTGATCTGCTCATGAATCTCTTCTTCCATCTGCATTATCAGGGCCTGAAAGTGTGCAGGCTTCAATAGTGTTATCTCCTCATTGTCACTAGTTTCTTGATTGTGATTGGCTCATTGACTTAATAGGTCAGCCTTCTTATTAGCCATATCTGCCTTGTGGTGAAGTGTGTATTGGTATTCCAACAGTTCTGTGACCCAGTGTGCTTGTCATCAGTTAAGTTTCTGGGGCAGTTGGAAGTATCAGAGATTCTGATGCTCAGTCCAGATCTTGAAGGTGTGGATAGTGCCAATTAAGTAGTGTTGCCACTCTGTAAGGGCCAGCATAATTGCTAGGAGTTCCTTATCATAGATATCATAGTTGCATTCTATGTGTTGCCATTTCTCATCCTGCTCCTATTATAGGACAGCACCAATGGCTTCTTCACTTGAGTTAGTCTCTACTCTGAATTTTCCATTCTGTGTTGGTATTGCCAGCATCACATCCTCCACCAGTCACTTCTTGAGATTGTTGAATGCTGCTTGTTGCAAGGGTCCCCATGACCAAGGGGAATTACCTGTCAACTGAGTCATGGGTCACACAATCTTGCTATAATCTCAGATAAACCACTGATAGAAGTTGGTGAATTCTAGAAAGGACTGTAACTCCTTTTTCCTCATTGGCTCCAGCCACTCTATCATCTCTGCTACCTTTACCAGATCCATCCATATACTCCTTTCACTGATAATGACTCTGAGATACTCTGTTTCAAGTACCTTGAACTTGCACTTCTCAGCTTTGAGAAACAGCTTATGTTTCCTCATGAGGTCAAAGACCTGTTGAACCAGTCTTTAGTGCTCATCCTGATTCTTGGACATGATAAAAATATCATCCAGATAGATAGTTACCTTTCCTGTAGTGATGAGGTCCTTGAAAATATCATTCATCATCCATTGGAAGGTTGTCAGAGAATTGGTTAGACTAAAGAACAGAACTGTTAGTTCAAAGAGTCCTTGATTGGTCCTAAAGGCTGCCTTCCACTCATCACCTTCTTTGATCCATATGTTATTGTATCCCTATCTGACATTCAGTTTGGACTAGTATCAGGCACCCCATAGCTTGTCTATAAGCTTGGAGATTAGAGGGAGTGGGTATTGGTTCTTGATTGTCATCTCATTCAACCAGCAATAATCCTGGACTGGTCAAAGCTTTCTATTCTTCTTTTTAACAAAGAAGAATGGGGATGCCATTGGTGACTTTGATGGATGGATATGGCCACTGGATAAATGTTCATATAAAAATTTATTGATTTTCTGCTGTTCTGGATAGCTAAAGGGGTAGACTTTACAGTCTAAGTTAGCATTCAAGTTGAGGATTAGTTTGATTGCATGGTTCCAGGGTTTCAGCTCTGGCAACTCATCAAAATTTTTCTTGTTGAAGAGATTCTAGTAATCTTGTGCCTATTCAGGTACCATTTCTTCAAATGTCTTCTTCTTTGCAGCATTGGCCCTTGCAGCCAAGTCATTGGCATGGTGTACAGCTCAGAGATGTATAGTAGGTTACATTTCAATGGCAAGAATGGTTTCCCTATCCTCCATCTCTTCATCCCATCAGCCTTCTGGATTCTCATCAGAGAGTTCAAATGGTAATTTATAGTATTGGCACCAGGCAAAAGTGATTCATTCAGTTTTCCAGTTGACTAGGGGATTGTGTCAGATTAGCTAGTCATGGCCAAGGAAGATCTTGGTGCCAAGTTCTGTGATAGCCAAGTCAATTTGTTCAGCA